TATATATATATATATATATATATATAAATTAAGAGCCTGCAGAGATTAGCTTTGTCATGCAGTCTGCTACATCTCCCTGGATGAAGGCTGTTACTCATGCAGATCATCCAGCCCCCACTTCTGCTGTAACTCGGATTTACTCAGGACATGTGGAAACACACCTCCTCCTTGGATCCACCCGTTTTTCACGAGGCGATGAAAAAGGGAGTTTTTGTAGGTGAGCTCTCGGCCATCGCGGAGAGACTTTGCTCCTCCGACGCACAGGGCACGGAAATTCTCACAGGTCCTGGGACATGCATCCGAAAAGAGCTGCAAAAGCAAGAAGAGAAAAACACCTGTGAAATTCCTAGCGGACACCGAGTGAAATTCCTAGCTGACCTCCACTGACCAGATTCCTGTGCCCCCTCCTTCGGCAGGTGAAACCACCGCGCTGGGTGTGCTTTTGCTTTTCTCCTCTGTAACGTACCTCAAAGAGCAGCCTCCCGACGGTCTGTTCCTCAATGGCTATCTCCAGGTACACAAACACGTGCTGTTTAAAGCAGAAAAGCAAATGCAGTGAGGGAAAGGCCAGCTCTCCATGCTGCACTCACTTCCTAATGCAGGCCAGGGTCCAGCTGCCCGGCACGAATGGGCTCAGAAAAATGTCCATGGGATCGACACTGCACAGCAGCATTCCTACTGTTTCGTTTAAATAAACAAAAGAGTAGGATGTTTAACTTCGTTCTGGGCAGAAATAACCCTAACAAGATGTTAAAGTGAACTACTGGGCAGCCCTGAAGCAGTTAGTACATGGTCAGGCATCAGGGCTAGTGCTTGCCCCTTCCTGGCTGCTGAGGGGCACACAGGGTCTGCCATCCTCAGCAGGTCACGCTCCCCACTGGCCACTCCATCCCCAGCTCTGGCTCTGCCATGACAGACCAGAAACCAAGAAACTGCCACTGCTGTTCTCGTTCTCCTTCCTCCTCATGGTACTTGCCCTTTCATAGAACCATAGAGTCATTTTGGTTGAAGGGATTTTTAAGATCATCTAGTCCAACCATTAACCTAACGCTGCCAAACTACCACTAAACCATGTCCCTCAGCACCACATCTACCCATCTTTTAAATACCTCCAGTGATGGCGACTCAACCCTGTCCCTGGGCAGCCTGTTCCAATGCTTGATAACCCTTTCAGTGAAAGAAATTTTTCCTAATATCCAATCTAAACCTCCCCTGGCACAACTTGGGGCCATTTCCTCTTGTCCATTGCCTGTGACTTGGGAGAAGAGACTGACCCCCACCCCACTACAACCTCCTTTCAGGTAGTTGGAGAGAGTGATAAAGTCTGTCATCTGACAACCTCTCCAGCCACTTGCAGATCTTGTACTTTTCTCATGAAACAGTGCTACTTGCCTGGCTGTTTTTCAGGTATTTGCTGTAGAAATCCTCAGCAAGTGCTTGGTAAAGTGCCTTGGGCTTGAAGTCACGATAGTCCCACTCACGGTAAGACCACTTGACCAGCTTCTTCTCATCCCCCAGGAGCTGGCCATCAATGAAGCACATCACCGAGGAGGCATACGCCCACACTTCACCTCTCAGTTCCTGCATTTCAGAGGGAAAACAAAGCCTCCAGGGATTATTTACACATTTAGTGAAGAAGCAATCGGTAATTATCCACCACATCTGTGGTATTTTTATGCCTTTCCTACTTTTCACACCACAAATCCCACCAACAGGAGGGGTTGGGCAGCAGCTTTCAGTGAGTTGTGCTGATGCTGCACGTGGTTACGTGCCCTAAAGCTCTGGATGCCACTGCTACAGGACATTATCGTGATGACAGTCCCCTGGGTGTCACTGTAGGGGCAGCTCAGACTGAATAGGAAAAGTGCCTGAAGAGCCCCATCCTGCCTCGGGGATCTCTGAGGATGTTAAATAAATTGGAATGGAAAGGCTCACTTCCAAAGTCTGTAGATGGAAGATCAAGCTGGGAGATGCTGCAGCCCCAGGGAGAGGACTCGTGTCTGAAATAACCTGAGGAAATGAGAGTTACCTTCTTTTTCTCCTGTAAATATTCATGCCATGCAAATTCTACTAACGGCTGTATTACAGGATCTGCAAACTTGCTTGGAAACTTCAGCTTCAGAGCCTAGATTTTCAAGTTAAGGAAAAAAGAAATTACTTACAAGCAGTTTAATACCACCCCCATCCTATCAGAGCTTGTATTTCCTCATGAACTACAACCTAAGCCACGTTCTAATCCAGTTATTGCACTGCACCCCTCGTGTCTCTGCTGTAACTCCTGACACTTGCAGAAGTACATGCAAATCGCTCTAAATCCCCTTTTGCAGATGTAGTGGGTGTCTTCTTTTTTTATACGAAGAGTTGCTTCACAAATATTATTGAATTGGGCTGGCAATCCCCTGCCATGAGATGAATATAAGCAGTGAGACATTCAAAGATGTTGCTGAGCGTCATCAACTGCATTTTTGTGTGGATTTTGCACACACAGGGAGTCACAGTCCACTACTGTCCCAGGAGATCGGGCTCAGGGCCTTGGGGCAAGTGAGTGGCTGCCAGGTGAAAGTTTCCAGTCCCTGTTGCTTGTACCACTGCCGCAGGAGCACACTGTTATTCAGAGATGGGACCTTCTTGCCCATCAGTTTAATCTCATCTCCACGTGGGCTGTGGCATGCAAGTGTCACAAGCTGTGGCTTAAAGCCAGCCCAGCTGGCCCAAAGTGAAGAAGTGACTTTCTGTTCAGCTCATGGTCCCTGTTGCTATCGTTGGGATGCTGGCTGGAAAAAAACAAGGAGAAAAGCCAAGAGGCACCCCCGCTGTGGCTATCGGCTTGGCTTGTCCTGAGACCTGCTGAGAGACAGCAGGGCTTCAGCAGCTGTAAGCAATGCTGGGGAACAAGTCTGGCAGATAAACTCCTAGGGGCAGGGGGTGTGTGAAGGTCAGTGTTGTGCACCCCATGGGAGGCTGCGTGCTCCACATCCACTGGACAGAAAACCCTGCAACACCCTATGAGGTTTGTAGCTTTTTGCTTTCTTATTTGCACCAACAGAGCTGCTTTAAGGGACTTGCCATAAGCTGCTGAGCAAGTCGGGCAGAGCCCTGGTGCGCCTGGAATCTCATACGGCATCACACACCTGCAAAATTTCTTGGAGGTGTAGAACAAGGAGGCGAGGATGCTGCAATGGAGATCCCCCCTAGCCTGAGCCCATAAAGCCTCAACGCCTCTGCCTGCACCTGGCAGCACCAAAGAAGAGCAGAGACCTGAAAATCTGATTTTCTTCCTAAATGCCACCACCACTGGGTGCAGGCATTCCTCTGCTTATTTACTTCCAGCCCACACCTCTCCTCGCTGCTCCCAACCCGGCACTGGGGTTAAAGCCTGGGGGTTACCTCTGCTGCGCACTTGGCCACGTGGAAAGCTGGGTCCTGGAGCAGTCCCACCACTGTCACCGCCACCCGCTGGGAGCCCATGGCACCCCGGCCACCATCAGTGAGTGTCAACAGAGCCCAGCTCCACGGCAACGCCCGACACAACACACACATGTCCCCCCCTTCTGCACTTCTAAGCAGTTCCCAAGACTAACGTAAGCGGGTTTCAACCACGCCAGAGGCTGGGAAATGCTCTGATTTATGTTTTCCCTTGAAGGAAGGAAAACAAAGTTACACAGAAAGCATGTGGCAGAGCAGAGGACTGAAGCCAGCTCTTTCCAGAGCTCACGATGGATGCTGTCAGTCCAATCATTTAAAAGAAAGGATGAGGATCCTGTTGCTAAGGGTGGCTAATAGCAGATGCCCAGCAAAAAGTGTTAAGAACAAGCAAACAGGAGAGCAGCGCTTCCCCATTGCTCTCCCAGCCTCTGGTGAGCCTCTGCTCAAGGATTTCCCAGTATCTGTGGGATATCTGTATCTGTATCACTCCACTTTAGTGGTTCTTTTTCATGCAAACTTCTTTGCTTTTCCAACCAAAGTAAAAACCCGACACCCACAAAACCCCGTGGCAATGAGATTTACAGCTTAATTACAACCTGTGTGGAGTCTGCATCTCCTTTTGATGTGGCAACTCCCACCACAGCTGTATTCACTGGGCGCTGCTGAGACCTCTCTCCCGCCGGGCAGAGCGGTACGGCACGTCCCGGGGCAGCTCCAGAGGGGTCCCAGCTCCCACAACACAGCTTCGTGCCACGGAGGCAGCTTCGTGCGCTTTGGGGCACCACGATGATGCAGCACCTGTGAAAGCGGTTTTGTGGGACAGCTGTAGGTTCAGCACGGCTGGGTCGGGTCACTTTGCAGCTCTGAGCAAGGTGAATTTTAGGAAAAAACGGGCTGGAAGTGACAAGACTGAATTGTATGTCACGTCAAAAATTTGAGTAACTTTTAGTGACAGCACGGAGCAACAGAACAATCAAGAAATATTTAGCTGGGGTTTTTTTACTGATAATTTCTAGGCATGGAAATTCTTACTGTCATTGTGGGCAAGAAAGGGAATTAACTATAAACATGCCACCAATAGTCAATTAATAGTCAAAGTCAAGAAGAAAAGCAACAGTAGCCAAATAAGCTTAATATCATTAGCCAACAAGCCAGTAATATCACTAGCTGTACAAGACTGTTTTCTACAAATTTATGATGGCCTTTTTCAAAAAACAGCAAGCCAAGAGCCACTGATTACTTGCTGCCTCTATCCATTCTGGCTTTTATTTCTCCCTTTTTTTTTGCATCGCTTTGTAATTCAGGTACATTAAAATCTATTCAACAGGTTGCCAATTATCTAAATTATATACATCGAAAAACTGGATGATTATTATTCATTTTGGCCTCTTTCTGCTACTAGTTTATGACAATACGTTGTTGTTCTGCGAGCTCATTCATATTTCTCAGATGAGCATAAATGTTAAGAGCGTGGTAAGAGGTAGATGGGACTTTGCCAGCTCTGCCGTGCTCCGCCAGCTGCAGAGACGTGCCGTGCTGCATTCGGTTTGGAGAGAGTGACAATTACCATGAATAAAAGCCTGGAAAGAAGTATAGAATAGTTTGGATTGGAAGGGACCTTTAAAAGATCATCTAGTCCAACCCCTGCAATAACCAGGGATGTCTTCAACTAGATCAGGTTGCTCAGAGCCCCATCCAATCTGACCTTGCATATTTCCAGGGATGAGGCATCTACCACCTCTCTGGGCAACCAGTGTTTCACCACCCTCAGTGTAAAAAATGTCTTCCCTGTATCTAGTCTAAATCTAACCTCTTTTAGTTTAAAGCCATTACCCTTTGTCCTATCGCAACAGGCTCTGTGAAAAAGTCATTCTCCATCTTTTTTTCTTATTCCCCTTTAGGTACTGGAAGGCTGCTACAAGGCCTCCCTGAAGCCTTCTCTTCTCCAGGCTGAACAACCCCAACTCTCTCAGCCTGTCCTCATGGGAGACATGAAAGCACAAGAAAGCAAAACAAGTTGTACAGCACATTTAAAAAATGACACTGAAAGCCCTTCAAAGGCATCGGGTGAATGATTAGGAATGTATCCCATGTGAGCTTTCAGTTAAGGTAAAGTGGGAAAAGAGTAAAAAAACCCAACAAACCAGCACACTAGGGTAGGTCTTAGCAAACACCAGCCATGAACTTGATCACGGTGACTAACCAGCTAAGATAGTAAAACAAGTGTTTTACAAATAAAGAGATTCAAGTCAAACTCTTCCCTGGGCGACTGGCAAGATCAATGCCAGGCTCAACGCTACTACCTTTAACCTGTGAACACACATTCAGTTTGAGAGAGTTCATGGCCAGGTAGTCATCTCCTTGTCCACCGAGATGCTAAGAGGTAATTGCTGTAAAACCCCTAGCAGTGCTTTCTAAGTCTGTCTGAGCAGAAAAGAGAGCATAAAACAAAAATTAAAAAAAAAAACCTTGCAAAGTAACACATGCTGGGTTGAAGCTTTTCCTGCTGTCAGGGTAATTTGCTTTCCCAGCTCAAATGAAATATTCTGACATTCATTTATCAAAAACAAGATGCTGGACTGAAGGCCTGTTGGTCTAATCCACACCGCCAGCATCTGGGCTTCCACACACAGAACAGCAAACTCTCCTCAACTTTAGAGTGGCGAGGTCAAGAAACGCTACTTAGAGCTAAACCATGAATATAACTGGCAAGCAGCATTCAGTATACACACAGTACTCAAATACCCACTCAACACAGTGTGCTTCCTCGACCCCTCAGGAATTTGTTTCAACTTTCACCTGAGGAATCAGCCAAAATCTTCAGAAAAAGCCACATGCTTCATACACATGCATTTGAAAAAAAGAATAGTAAAATCCTCTTAGAGTTCAACTACACCGGGTAACTTACAACTGGAGTAGAAGAAACACAATGGTGTTAATTGCTCACAAAAATAGATCTTTCTGTAGCCTACTTCTTTGCCTGCGTTTATGTCCAAAACCCTAATCTCACTTTAACATAGTAAGAAGTGAGATGGATTTGCTAAGAAGATTATGTGAGAAAAGGAGAAGCTAAGGTGTTTACTGCCTAAGGAGTAAAGATACTTAGAGAGCTGCTGTGAAACATAGTTTTTCAGGCATGCATTTTTTTGCTAAATGCTTCTTAGCAGCAGCCAGACTCAACAGCAAAGCTGAAGGGGTTTCCTTTCAAATTCAAAACAATCCCAGGCTTTAGTTGCAGCCTTAAAAATGCACACACAGAAGAGGGATTTATTTTCACCTTTAATAGAAATGCATTCACTAGAAAGGAAGCAAATGGTGTCAAAAAAAGCAACGTTTGTGGTATGAGAAATGACACGGGCTTCTCAAGCGCAAGCTACAGTCCGTGCTGACAGTTTAAGGAACACAAGTGCAAGGTGAGTCACTGCTGTGCTATTCTCAGAAGCTCACTTCTTTGCTGGTAATTTGATAGAAAAGCGTAAGAAAAATTCAAACCCCAAACTTCATTAATTTTAGTGACGGCAAAAACATCAAGCATTCACTATGTGAGAGTGGCTCAAGCATAATTGTAGCATCGTACTTCATCCTGCAAGAACTTCATAATGAACAAATCAAAGTTCAACAAAAAGAGGAAAGCATTTAAGTTATTATACTGCTTGTCTTGGAATTTAGCTTGTAACCAGCTTTTAAGCATTTCAGGGTTCCCAAGTATACAGCAGAGAAGGACCTCAGTGCAAGCTCCTGTAAACTTATGATCAGACAGTATTATGGCTGCACATTACAGTATTTTAGAGAAAATCAAAGTTGTTAGGATGAAACCTCCCTAATATTTATCGTTAACTTGAATTTGTACAACTAGTTAGATTTTCACAGATGTTGTAACAAGCTTCACTTGTATTTTTTCATCTGTTCTTGCAGCATCAAGACTTCAAGCTCCTGAAGTACAACGGCAGAATATGCTGGTTCTTTTTGGTGGTAGAAATGTACAAACTGTAATTCTCCATTCCAAGAGGGAAGAACAAAACACAAAAAGCCTAACTGGAATTTGGCTGTGGGACATTTTCTTTGTATTGATTTACTCCCACTGTGTACCCTTTTCGTGATCCATTTATAAAGAAACTGATCTAGTACTTGGACAAAATGGAGACAGTCACCCAAACGCCAGCAGCACATGGTTGGGAGCCAGCTGAGTAGTCTGGACTCAAACAAGGAATGTTACCCAGAATTTGGGCTCCCCAGAACAAGACAGAACTGAAGCACTGGACTGAGGGAAGCAGAAAGATGCCAAGGTGATTGAAGAGCTGGAGCATGTGATGGAAAAGGCTGAGAGAGCTGGGTTTGTTCAGGCCTTAAGAGGAGAAGGCTTTGGGGGAGCCTTACTGCTGTCTTCAACTATGTAATGGGATGGTGTAGAGAAGACTGAGCCAGACACTTCTTGGAGGCACAGCGGTAGGCCGAGAGGCAGTGGACACAAACCAGAACATAGGAAATTCCAATTAAATATAGGAAACGTTTTTTTCACTGCGAATATGGTCAAACACTGGAACCGGTGGCCTAAAGAGGTTGTGGATCTCCATCCTTGAAAGCATTCAAAACAACCTGACAACAGTGACATGATCTAGGCGTACCTGCTTTGAGGAAGGTGAGGATGAGATGGCCTCTGGAAGTCCTTTCCACCTTAAGTTTTTCTATTGTTCTACCCTCTAGGCTTTTATGCCAGTGACTCTCTCTGAGCAGTCATATAAGCCACACATATACAAAGATCTTTTGTTTTGCTTTTAAATTCTCCTGCTAATGCCTTAATTTTTTTCATTTTTCATTTGTTAAAACACAAAATACCAACGTAAATCACAAATATGACATTTTAAAACTGAAGTGATGATTGACCATGTTGCTTTAAGCAGCAGGGGCATTTTATCTGGATTTTAGCACACCAGTACACTATGTGAGATGTGACCAGTAGCCAAACTTGAACATGCAAAGCATGTATTCCGGCATGGCATTTTATTAAGATGTCAAATCTTTTGTGTTAACAGTCAGTCAGTCATTGAAAACAATCTGTACACATCTAATCTGGTCAGCAAAAATAGCTGTACAACTGCAGCGCGATATGCCCCATTTATACAGCTCATTATGCTCTGAAGTGATTCTATTCATTGTTCAAATCCCCACAAAAACAATTACCAGCTTTTATGTATATTAAAAGTAACATTAAATCCTGCTCTCAATAGTACAAAAAAATAACACTTTAAACATACACTGGCTCCTAAGCTTAGACCGAGTCCTGTCAGGAAGAGAATTTTGCACCTCAATAGACACTGCCTTCAACATCAAGAGCTCTTCAAAGTGCTTGGTGGAGCATGTGAACACTGTCCCCACTTACTAAATGAAGAAACTAAGGCACAGAGGTCAGTTACCCTGCCCACAGTCACACAGAGGAGTGGTAGAACTAACAGAGCAGAATTTGGGCTTCTCAGTTGTCCAGAGTAACCACCGCATCTCACTGCCATTGTTCAAGTGCAATGGCTTAAGCACTTCCAAGGAGCAAAACTTGTACAGCACACAGTAAACAGAAGGGGCGATCAAGGGCCAGTCAAATGCTGCAACAATTTCAACCCAAAACAAATTTGGTAGTCAATAAATCAAAATGCACTTAAGGGAATGATCACATGCAAAATTAGACATTAACCTGCAGAGAGAAAGCTCATTATAAGGCCGTTTAGATACAGTGCTAAGGGACATGGTGTAGGGGATGACTTTGTAGAGTAGGGTAGATGGTTGGACTCGATGATCCCAAGGGTCTCTTCCAATCTAGATGATTCTATGATTCTAAGACACATGGTGTTAGTTGTTCAAACACTGAACAGTAGTAATGTTGACTTCATCAGAGAAGTCGTACTTTCTGATCAGCAGACATCTTAAACACTGTTCTTCTACCAGCAGGGTACACTCCCCTGGAGAGTCACACAGAAATGCAAGTAAGGGGCCAAGTATCTCCTCAGCAGGCATGGATGTGTGTGAGGCACAAAAAACCGCACATTAACCGCTTGTAAGGTATGGACTAAGTGGTAGAGAAATACCAATCTGGAAAAAATTTAAAAAGTCTAAAATAAATAAGGTTAAGAAAACTGAAAGCCACCCATCAAAAATCACCAAGAAATACGTCTTCAGATAGATTATGCTGCAGAAAAAAAAGAGTTATGATACGTGTAATCACTACCTGGATGAGAAGCATGCTATAGCCTAGCCCTCTGATGACAAATAAGCATTTCAGAAAGCCTGTCCTTGAATAGGATGCTCGCGAGATGACTCATTTACTGACAGAGACTGCTGATGGGATTCAGAAACAGGTACACTTTGATTCTGTTCTTCACTGATTTGATGGGAAGGAACCGTATCTTGACTAGAGTGAGACTGTTGACTTGATTCCTGAGTCAGCTGCACGTGCTGAGCTGGATGTGAAGATCCTGCTAAGTGGATTTCTTCATTTTGTCCTTGATGAGCATGGAGATGTTCTAGTGCTTCCTTGGAAAGAGTGATGACGTGCATTTGTTCAGGCTGGGCAGTCTCTATTTGGTTTGCAATCACATTGATACTTTGGATTTGTTCTGCTTGCTCCTGCTGAGCTGAAAGCAACAAGTTTTGCAACTGCTGTGGCGGCTGAGCAAGCAGTGTGAGGTTAGCAGCCTGCGCTGTTGTCATACTTGGGGCATTTTCTGCAGCAACAATACTAATGCCTTGGTTATGACCAGGCATGAAGTTTATATTATGTACTGCATCTGTAACCAGGAGTTGAATTTCCTGCCCTCCAGAGGTGGCGAGTTGATACTGCTGCAGCTGAAGGATGTTTCTCACTTCTTCTGAATTAGCGTTGGTGCTCGGAGCAGCGCTGGCTTCCTGAAACTGCTTCTCCTTGCTATGGATTTTTAAGTGAGACTTCAGGTTGTCCAGACGAGCAAACTGCAAACTACATTCTGGGCAGGAGAAAGGCTTTTTGCCTGTGTGTAAGATACAGTGTCTTCTCTTTGCACTGGAATCGGAGAAGGATTTTCCGCATATACTACAAGAATATGGCTTTTCTCCTCTGCAAAAGAATATATTTGATCTCATTAAAATATTCCCTTTGACAGTGCTGCTTTCTGCAACTTATTATAGAATAAAAAGCTTGAATTACTCTGTTTTGCTAAATCATAAGCACTTAAGAATAGTGACGTTAATAATGTTCTCTATTTGACTTCCTAATTATTTCCATTTGACTTCACAAATTGTACTTTCATATTATATTATCTCTATAGCTCTTCAGTATATAACTGCCCTCCTGTCATAATACCAGAGGTACAAATTCTGCGCTGCTAGACCTTGACAAGACTGCAACAACTCCGCGTAACTGTAAGCACGGCCATTTAAAGAACGTTTATTAGTAAGAATGTGGGCTTTAAATCAAAAAGAAGTGTCCAAATCCTAACTTGCTGCCCATCTCAAAGGGATGAGATATTTTACTGGAAATGTTTCCTTTTACCTAAGGCCCACAACAGTTCTCCAATGACTTAAAATCTTACATTCCTTTATCCGATACATCCCACCGACACAGGTAAAAGAGAACTAATGCTACTAAAGAAACATAATAGAGTACAGGGAGACAGGACAATGTTCCAATAACTCTGTTACACCACGTCAAAAAAATTCCCAGTAAAGTTTCCATATAAATAATACAGTAGTAAGTATACTGTCATTAAACAGAAGAATCTTACAATGTCTTGGCACACTAGTATTTAACAGTGCAGTTCTTTCCACTACTAATTACTTCTTTAAAATAGATTAAAAAAAAAATCTTTTACCATCGATTCAAAATGCAAACAAGCCCTGACAACCGTTCTATAGTGGAACAAGCACTGCATACTGGTATCAGACTTTCATTACATTCTTTAAAACTGTAACTTCAAATTAGCTATACTCTACCTGTGAATTCTAATGTGAGTCTGCAGAGAACTTTTAGCTGTAAACGATTTGCCACAAATTTCACAAGTGAATGGCTTCTCACCTGTCAAAAAGAAATTTGACATTACATTTATACAGCACTTCCAATCAATATATTAAACATCTTATATGTTACCATACACAGTATCAAGTGTGTAATGTCAAATCCTCATGCTTCTGCCATAGGTCAAGACAGATATCTGAAATTGAATAAACTCAGTAGCTAAACAAGGGTGTAGTATTTTAAACGTACATCTCTGATGTTTCTCCTCTTTGAAGATGAAGAATTAGGTGATCCAAGCCCTCACAGCAACAAAAACCATACCTGTGATACAGGTGCAGGTATTCCATGCCCACCAGACAAGTTTGCAAAAGGCTGACCCTGCACTAATAGGCATTAATGCCAGGCTGGCGTGCAGCACCATGCCCATGAGTAAGCCCAGATTTCCAAACCTGAAAAGTGAATCCATTATCTTAACAAGTTGGCTGGCTTCCTATAAGGGTCCATCACCCTAAACGAATCCTAATTCAGATCATAACATATCCTTATTGCACTGAGCTTCTTTATGACACTAGGCATGAGACTTCTCACTGTGGAACTTTACACCATCCAAGCATGCTAAAATCAGGGATGGGGCAGAAGCCACTTTCCAAGGAAGCTTCACATTTAGTACAGAACTGCAATGCTTAGTAGCTTTCATATGGCTTCAGAGGGCAGGGGCAAAGTACGAGAGAACAAGAAACGTTTGTCAGAAGGGACACCACCCTCACCACTAAGTCCCAGCCTCCTACTGAAAACAGGAGTAACTTCCTAATTAGACTGCACTTTTATGACATTCTTCTGCCAAAGCAGAACAGTCATATCAATCTTAACATCTGGCCCCAAATTTCTTAGAATTTTACTTCTTGCTTTTGAGACGGGACAGATCAATTGCTATTTCTGCATCGTTAATACTGGTATCTGGCCTGTCTTCTGGAAGCAAAATACATTGCAAGCCAGTTTCTGCTAGAACTCATCTTAGTTGATCTATTTTTGCAATTTACCTTGCTACTATGCTTCCTCTTCTCATTTCCCATTACAATTATAGAGCTGTATCAGCTTCAGATACAAAACAAGCTCTAGGCAATCCTACTTTAGCAGGGGAGTTGGACTAGATGATCTCTATGGTCCTTCCAACTCTAAAAATTCAGTGAAATTCAGTGAAAACTGTTGTGTGTGTCAACAAACAATACGTTCTCCTCAATAGAAAACGCAGCATTTTTAAGTACCAGAAGTGAACACTATTCTGGATACACCAAAAGCTCCCAAAGGCATAAGTTCTCACCTCATTCTATCCCAGGGAATTTAAAGCTGTGTTATTTTCACCAAGGAAGAGAAGGAAATGAATGGGATACATAACTTGATCTTGTGCGTACTTTTCTACAACTGCAGGCAACAGACTTAATAATTTGATTTGGGGAAGAAACAATCACCACTGTTTATAGCTATTTTAAAAGAAAAAAACTTAGCCTTCAAAACTATTTTAAGAAGCTTATGCCTTGTTATCACGAGATGGTAGATCACCATTTTTATCCCTGTTATCCAGCCATTCAAGTATCACCCTGTCCTCTAAATCTCTTATAACACCTTCTGACTCACTGGCATTAAATCATCCTTCCCAGCCCATCTCTTGCAAACATCTGGTTTATTACAGCACAATAAAAAGGTAAATGGAAATAATTATTTTTCTGGTCAGCAGCATTTTTTGTGAGCACCTATCCCTCCCAGACAGGGGTGCCCAACTCATTCAGGACGTACGCTTTCTGTTACTACTTCGCCACATACATGCTGGATGCTGATAGAATCCTGGATATGGGAATGCAGTTTATCAGGGAAGAGCTAATGGGCAGCTAATGCTGCAGGCTTTATAAGAATAGGGAAAAAAAAGCTCTTCCTGTAACAGGCACCACTTCTGCACTGTTGTAATACAAGCTCTTCTGAGTTCCTACATTCTTGATCTCAAATCCCTTCATTATCAATACCGGCATCATTATGTATAAGTAGAGCAGAACTTCATCCCACAGAGACAAGTGTCATTTGCTTAACATTGTTTTGTCTGTATTACTTCAGGGAAAAAAACCAAACCAAAACATGATAGACAAAATTACCTGTATGTGTCCTTAGATGTTTCTTTAGCTGAGCTGCATCCATGAATTTGCGACGACACTGGTTACATTCCGGCAGTGAACGGCCTTGTCGCAATAATAAAAAAAGTGTCAGTGCATAAGTGATCCCCTGTATCTCTTCAGTGACCTTTGTTAAAGCACTTTCCTGTAAAATAACCACTTTGATATAATATAGAGATAAAACAAAAGGTGAATCACTGCCTCCTCCCTATCTTAATTGCCACACTCCTATTTCTCTACTGAATATTATCATAGGAAAAGAGGGGACTGACACCCGCTCCCCTCCCACCCCAAACATGCCTTCTCTTGAAGCTTTGTAAATTCTGATATTTTCCACCACTTCCTGTGTGTGTAGCTTAATTTCCATCCTGCTCCAGAAGCGAGGACACTTCTTAAAGCTTGTTCACCATTACTAGTCCAAAGTAATAGGAAACTACAAGACAATTTGCACAACAGGCAGCAGACACAATTGTTTACACAGAGCAGGGCTAAAATAATCAAGTTGTATGTCAAATTCAGCGTAACTAAATTTTAATCATCATAAGACTCCTTCTCAATTAACTATTTTTCTAAACTTTCCACTTATTATACATCATTTTGTCTTTTTTCACCCTATTCATTCTGACACATCAGGGTAGCAGAGACTAAATACATTGCTGAAGAAGAATTTCCAGCCTTAGCCAATCTTTAAGAGGACAAATCAGCATGGACTGTATGCCAGTGCTTCAACTCAAACTTGTCATACCTGTGTGTACTCGATAGTGACTCTTGAGCTGTCTCTTTTGGCTGAAGTATTTCCCACACTGATCACAAGTAAAAGCCTTCTGCCCTGTAAAGAAAATAATTTATTAAAATGTAAGCCACATTCAAAGCAAGGGTAAGGAAATAAAGAAACCAGAACACACAAGAGACAGCAGAAACACCTTTTTTCAGAAAGGCAAATTTTTGGAGGAGAGAGGTTACTTTTGCCTTGAAATATTTACCTGTATGTAGGCTCATATGCTCCAGAAGAGAATGCTTTGTTGTCAGAGCCTTATTGCAGACAGTGCACGTGTATGGCCGTTCTCCAGTGTGCATCCGCTCGTGGACTTGAAGAGAATGCTTCTGGGAAAAGCCTTTGCCACACTCGCTGCACTTAAAAGGGCGCTCCCCTGAAAGCAAAAGATGACATTGCTAAGCATAGATGCATTATTTGTCAATAGATATTCTAAGCTGATAGCGAGACAGATTGCAATACGGTAGCTCCTAAAAAATGACTTGAGTAGTGATAAGGAGAATTAAGAAATAAGCTTCACATAACAAGAAAATAATTCTTTAAGTATCACCATACACTTCAATGATTAAACAGAGAAATGATTAACTAAACTGCAATCATGGCAAGACATAAAGGCTAAGAAATCTGCTGAAAAGAATAAAACAGCAAACGCAGGAGACACACCATCATTTGGATGAGCATGCTATTTTGGACTGTTCTCGCTGTAAACAACAGCCCACATTTCAACAACTAGCTCACATTTAGCAACAAGTCACTAAACCCTAACCCAAAAGCAGCAGCCTCTCACTGCCTACCTGTATGACTCCGCTGATGAATAGCTAAGAAGTGATTATATTTAAATACTTTGCCACAGTCTTTACAGCGAGCTTCAGAACCCGCACATTTTCTTTTTCCGTCAGCTCTCTTTACCAGTCCTTTTTCATCCTCATCACCAAGAAGTTTATAATCTTTTAGTTTGATTGACCTCCTTATTCTACGTTTGCTGTAACGGCTCTGAGTGCTCTGTACTCCTTCAGATTTGGGATCATAATTCTCATCCTTCTCAGCTGACAGATCAACAGCAGCTTCTGAGCCACAAGCAGGTTCAGTTTCTTCTGCATCTTTACTCGCTGGATCCTGTTCGCTGACAACTGTTTCTTCTTCTGCGGTGTCTTTCTTCATAAAATTTTGCTTATTTTGCATGGAGTTATTCTCTCTCAGCTGCACATCTTCGGTAGAATTTGCAGCCGATTTTTCTTCTTGGACGTTCTTGACTTTCCTCGGTCGCCCTCGTTTTCGCTTTGGTGGGTCTTCATTTTTCTTGTCACTTGCAACAACGGCTACAGAGGCTCCACTGTTAGCTGGAGCTGGTAACGCACTGCTTGGGCTATGGCTGGCCTGATAGTCTGTACAGGCCCAAACCAAGTCAGTCACTTTCAGCAGCTGCGCAGTAGCCAGGATTTGTTCTGTGCTTTTTTCGCTGGCGCGGAGGCAGCCAGTGTAGATAAATTCCAGCAGTGCCCCAAAGGTGTCTGCAACCATCCCCTCCAACATGTAAATCGACTGCCCTATTTCACCCTCATCTACAAACATCATGGAGAAGTATTCACTGCTGGCAGCAAGCAAAGCTTTATGGGCTCTGAATTGCACATTCTCCACTATCAGCGTAATGTCACAAAGAAAATCCTTTTTCCTTTGTTCTTCAAAATTAGCTAGAATGGTATCTTTGTGAGCCTTGGAGTGGATGACAACCAGTTTCTCAGAAGCATCAGGAGCTGTTTCTGCCATTTTTACGGCGCATATGAAAGGAGGTGCCTACAAAAACAGAATAGCTTTAATTAAGAAATATTCTAGAAGTCTGCATCATAAGACAACAGGCAACAAGAGTTCAACAGTTTCCGAAAGAATTCAGAAGCCTCTGAACTTTCTTTAAAAATTTAACACTAATGCTGACACAAATTTTCTTCAAAAACTGCTTTTAAATCCTAAGAAATGTCTACAGATAGTTTCTTCTTAGATCAGAATCACTGCCTATTATTTCACTTGTTTATCTCCAACGTACTGTGAGCTGTATAGCATCTAAAAAAAATGGCTACCCCTTCTGAAAACTCCTTTCACAACTAAAACAATCGGACAAAGAGAAGTCTTTGTTCACAACTCCTAAGTGGAAACAAATAATAATAAAAAAAAAAAGTCACCCGCAGCTTCATCCCTGCGGATGTCACATTTCAGATTATTTGGGGACAAGGCCATGAAATCCTCTAATCAATGAGAAAACTTCACTGGCATCATTGTGGCAGGACTCCATGCCGACTTTTATCCTTCTGAAAATTTTTCTTTCAGAACACTTACCGATTAAGCTTCAGCCTATGGAGATGGACAACAAAAGCCAAAAAGCAGGAGCTTTTTCTAAGACCACTGTTTAACTATGCTAACTATTGAACACCCATCTGGCTTGCTAAGCATCTTCAATTGTAAAAATGCAAAAAAGTTAACAAAAAAAAAAATCCAGCAATTTCAGAAGAATCCACCAAATACTACACAAGAGATGTGCTATACCTCCTTTCAAGAGGATCAGCTGAGCCAAACGTGAAACAGATTAGCTACCTGCCATCTTAAAATATAAAGCTGTAATTTTAAACACAAACATGCATTTAGCAACACAATCAGCAAGCACAACAGCTCTGATTATTGAAGGAATGCTATAAGAAACCATATGCCTTCATACAGATGATATCTAAATGCTACGGAGGTGGCCACCTTCAGCCCCACTCAGCTATGGAACAGTTCATTCCGGAGCCAAATTGTGTATCTGGGAACGTTAATTTCTGGCAGATGCGAGCCTGCTGTTACTGGAGTACCCTAAAGCATGGCTGCAGGTCTGACCCCACCTTGCCCTACAGGGGATGACATGAACCCCTGAAGAGTTGCTGCCAACTCTGCCTGCAGGCATTCCCTAAGACCAGACAGAGTAGTAGGTGTTCATGGAATCACGGAATTGTCAGAGTTGGAAGGGAGCTCTAGAGACCATCCAGTCCCACTCCCCGGCCAAAGCAGGGCTGCCCAGAGCACAGCACTCAGGGCTGCATCCAGGCGGGTCTTGAAAATCCCCAGAGAAGGCGACTCAACGACCTACCTGGCTAGATGTTCCAAGGCTCGGGCACCCTCACGAGAAAGACGTTCTTCCTCAGATTTGAGTGGAACTTCCCATGTTCCAGCTTGTGCCCGTTGCCCCTCATCCTGTCACCATGAACCACCGAAAAGAGTCCGGCTCCATCCTCCCTCAACCCACCCTTTAGATACTTATAAGCGTTAATAAGGTCTCCCCTCAGCCTTCTCTTCTCCAGGCTAAAGAGCCCCAGCTCTCTCAGCCTTTCCTCATAAGGGAGACGCTCCAATCCCTCAATCACCTTAGTTGCCCTACATTGGACTCTCTCCAGTAGCTCCCTGTCTCTCTTGAACTGGGGAGCCCAGAACTGGACCCAGTTGTGGCCTCACCAGTGCAGAGTAGAGGGTTTTGCGGGTGACAATGACATGAAGGACTTTGGTATTCAATCGCAGGGTGACACCATTACTCTTTTGGCTGCAAAATCCAAACCAGCACACTCACCTAAAAAAATCACTAACCCTAGCACGGGGCTGTGTATTAGGGGAAGGCACCCGTACTGCCAGCAGGATGCTCGGACGCGCTCCCTCCATCTGCCGATGACCCGTGGACGGGATCACGGGCAACAGGCGCGTTTCGGGGGGCTGACCCCGACTAACCCCGCACGGCCGAGCAGCGAGGACAGGCCCCGCTGCGGGCGGGCAGGAGGAGGCCGCAGAGAGAGGTCTGGCGGCCCGGCGGCCCCCCTTGCCTCCACCAGCGCCGCACTGAAGCC